ACAGACACAAGGACATGTTGAGGGAGGAAGGGATCTGGGTCACCTTGAAGAGTCCTGGTAGGAGTGGTGGGCCCAGGGTGTCGGGGTGTGTGGGGTGGGGCTGCCCCTCTTACCTACCATGAGTCAGAGACAACAGCCCAGGCAGGATGACCCATTGGAGGGGTGTCCCCTGTGGGTTACACTGGGTGCCACTTTCAGCTAAACTGACTGACAGAACCACCAGAGCTTGGCAGACTTGAAAAGACCCGGCTCTCTGTGCCCGCCCCTCTCCCTCTGTTTTTGGCTTGAGCAACTAGGAAAAGATAGTGCCATTTGCTGAGATGAGGAAGACAAAGGGGGTAATATGTGTGAGTGTCCAAGACTTTAAGGTTTGAAACATCCAATGGGGGTCCTGGTCTCTGTCACGGAGGCTACTGGATCATCATACAAGGAATTCCGGGAGTCAGGGCTGGGGATGTCATTTGGGAGTTATCTGCAAACACGGTATTTAAAGCCATGGAATTGAGGAAATGCCCAGGGAGAGCGTGTGGTTGGAGGAGCTGAGTGAGACGAGGACAAAGGAGTGATTGCTGGCCCTGCCACGTGGCGGTCACAGGTGGGCAGTCTGCAGTGGTGGCTCTAGAGGCCATTGGGGGCGGGTAGAGGAGAGGCCACGCAGCACGGAGGCAGTGAGTGTGGACAAGCTGCCCGCAGTGGAAGGGAGCGGAGACCTGCGGCAGCGGCTGCACAGGGACGGAAGGGAGGGAGTGTTGCAGATGGGAGATGCTGATGGGTGCAGTCTCGTGGGGAGGGACATCGCAGCAATGCTGGGAAGAGCGGTCCTGATCGTAGGAGGTGAGTCGTTGAGGAGGTGACAGGAGGTGATCCTGAGCACAGGGTGGAGGGGCAGCACCCGTCCGCAGGAGAGGAGAGGGGCCCAGCTGTGGGCGGACTGTTCACAACAGGGGGTACAGGCTGGCTGGGCTGGGGGGTGTTGGGAGTCTGAGCCATCTGGGAGAACCCAGCTCGTCTTGTGCTCACATGAGGTGTGTGGCTGCTGAGTTTACGTGAGACCACTTGGCACCTGCGTGCTCACATGGAGTGGGTGGATGTTTGGGCTGAGCCAGGGCAGCGGAGCAGAGAAGCTTCCCTGGGAGAGCAGGATGGAGGGAAAGTGGGTAAGAGAGTTGTGCATCTAGACCAAGAGGTCAAGGTGGTGAGAATGGACGTGAGGGCTTTCGGGGGTGGGTGAAACATGCCTTGGAAGTCTTGATGAAGTTCGGTGATAGCTGGAGCCAGGTGCCAGGGTGAGGTGAGCAGGACAGTGGGGGAAGGGGAGGAGCCGCCTTCAGTCGAGGTTGTAGCAGATTGTAGCAGCCTGTTGTCCAGGAGGCCGCCGGGGGACATGCACACAGATGCAGGTGGCTGTGTTGGGGGAGAACAAGCCGCCCTTCAGGACCCTGGTGGGAGCTGTTTCTGACCCTTATGTGTGTACCCCGGCCTCCAGCTGCTGGGTTTTCTTTCGTTTGCTGCAGCGAAACAAACAGTTTCTAGCTGGATTTGCTGGGAGCCTAGACCCCGAGACAGCACAGCCGGCCAAGGGCTGTCCGTGGCCGTAAAACCCTAGTGATGGAATTTCCAGAACGAGTTCAGGCCCGAGGATGCACTGTCCTTGTGAGGTGGTGGGCTGGGTGACGGGGAGGTGGCCTGCTCTGCTGCATTCTCCCCTGGGGAGGCCTCGTGTGGGCCAGCCTCGAAGGCGAGAGAAGAGGAGACCTGGCCCACCTCTCAGCCGGCTCCACTGGAGCTGCCGTCTTGCACTGGGGCCTCCTTCCGGGCATTCAGTGGAGGACATTACGAGTCCAGAGGGGCAGCATGGGGACTCAGGACCCCCTTTCCCAGAAGGCCTGCAGCTGTCCTCTCAGGCCACGCCACTTACACCTGCCTGGACCCCAGGCTGGTCCTTGCTCATCATCCTCATCGTCTCTGTGCCCAGCACAGACTGAGCCTGTTCGTGCCCAAGTGTGGGCTTTCCTCCGCCTGAGGACACGTTTTGCTGTCCTTGGGGCTCTCTTCTGTGGCCTCCCTGGAGGTCTGCTCGTGGGCTGAGCGAACCCTTGCCTCCCAGTTCACACACACACACGTGCCATTTGAGAATAAACACATTTACATATTAATACATACATGCATCTATACATACATAACTTCAAAACAATCTGGCTTCTGTTACCTGCTGAAACAGTTGGGACGTCACCCTGACAGTAGACAGCTGCCGGTGACCAACTGAACTCGCTTGTTGTGGCCCATGGCAGGACACACGGCTAGTTCTAAGCCCGCACTCACTTCCCCAGGTGCCACCTGACCGTCTTCTTCGGGTGCCCTGGAGTGACATCCTACACTTGGGGGCTTCCCTCGACGGGAACCTGGATTGGGAAACCTCAGCATGGCCGGGAGGCCTTTGGATGAATAGGCAGCAGAAGGTGTCACCTTTGCAACCAAAACGATGTCACTAGCCACGTTGGGAAAGTCAAACAGTCCTTCCCTCCCTCTCCACCGCCCCCCAGTCGCCCCTACACACCTCCCAGGGGAGGCATCGCACAAGCAGCCACGTTGCGGGGGGGCGGGGGGGTTACAGCATGGCTGAGGGTGGTCAGACCTGTGCATTGGAGAGTTTCCAATTGGAGAAACGGGCCAAGGACCTACGCGGTATGTGGCTCAGTTGGACATGATCAATGATTCTTTGTTTTGTTTTTATTGTGTGAAGAACCTTTTTAGTACGTATTTCTTACTTATTTACTGTTTGCATAAGAATGAGGTATGGGTGGAAATAGATATGGCTGACATTTATTTTCTAGCCTACCAGGATTTATTTCTCTTCTTTTCTTGATTTTCTTATACAGAAATATGAGTTGATTTTAGTACTTTAAAATGAGCTACCACTTTTCCGAAATATAAACATCTCGTAAATTGAGAGACGGGAGTAATTTAGCGAGGAGGCAGAGAGCCAGAAAGTTCTCACTGCCAGTGTGTCTGCCCTGTGGTGCCTGGTTTCCTGGCCAGGACAGGGGTTCGAGGGAACTTGGGCCAAACCTCTCAGCGTGCAGATGGGGAAACCGAGGTCCGAGAGGAGGGGACTGATTCTGTCCTGCCTCCTGATCTGGAGGCCAAGCTTGCCTTCCTGTTCTCTCTCCAGGGAGAGGGTCTCCAAGGCCTGGGGGGAGCCCAGACCTGGACAAGAGCCACCTGTCAAGGCCTGGGTACAACACACAAGACATTATGGGGACAAGGGCAGTCTCTGGGGAGGTTCTGCCCTTGATCTGTGGGGGGCCGATAGGATCCACAGTCACAGGGAAATTTAGAAACTTATTTCCCACTTGCATATCACAGGGCTTGGGTCTAACTCTTTTGTCCTAAACGGTTAAAAGAGGGGTGGTGTGGGGGAGAGAGAGATTTTTTTAACCCTTCCCTGGGGAGAGGCCTGAGGGTGTGGCGGCTGGACCCAGGCTCCTGGGGCTCCCTTTCTCCTGGAGAAAAGTTGATGAGGCTGGGTTGTGGGAGGTGGGTGAGAATCCCTTTAGGCTGCAGGGCAGTGGGAGGGGACTTTTCCTCTAGGGGCCGTGTGCTGTCTCCTCTGTTCTCACTTGGGGTGGGAGGTGGGCTGACTGCAAGGGCGGGTCTTGCCCAGGGGCGGAAGTGAGCAGACCATACCAGAGGCCCCGTTTTCTTGCTCTGAGCAGCCCCCAAGGGCAGAAACAGGCCCAGGGTTGACCCGAGGTGATAGAGCACAGTGGTTACGAGCCAGGCAGAGCTGACACTTACTCGCTGGGTGACTTTGGGCAAATTACTTAACCTTTTTGGACCTCTGTTTCCTCATCCATGAAGTGGATCTGATATTAGTGCCTACCTCACAGGGCTGTAAAGATGGAATAAGATGATATATAAGTGGTAGGTACTGTTATTAATAATAACAATGATAATAAAACAGTTTATAAAGGATGGAATGTAGGGAAGTGTGTTTTAGCCCAATAAAATGTTAGGAGTGTCCCTACACAGAGTATGTTATATGTTGAGGGAGGGAGCTCTCTATCACTGGAGGCATCCAAGCAAAAGTTAGAAATCCACTGACTGGGGATGTTGTCGAGGTGTGAAGCCTCCTCACAGGCGGCAGAGCTGCAGTGGCCTTGGAGGTGTGCGCTGGGCCTGGAGGCCACCAGCTGGCCCTTCTGCCCCAGGTCCTCAAGTCCCCTTGGAGACAGGCCTCCTTTGGGGGTCTGCAGGGCTGCAGTGGCAGAGGCCCTTGGATTTGGCCACCACTTGTTGTCCAGGTTTGGGTGCAGCCTCTGCCCGTGAGCCTGAATGCCCCTGTGATCCCCAACTCTGTCTTTCCTCCCTCACCCAGGGGCCCCTCTTCCAGGAGTTCCCTTCCCTTCTCAAGTGGGTTTTTTTGCCACCCTAACAATTTCTCCCTTCTTCGGATGCAGTCATCTCCCTTCCTCCAGCTGTGGGGGTCTAGCCAGGGTTGCCAGTCCCTGGGTGACCGTGTGACCCAACCTGGACAACCACAGCCCTCCCTGGGACTTCACGGATGAGACTATGCAGGGAGAGCCTCCTTGTCTCTGGCGGCAGAGTGGGGATGTGCCCACCTGGACGGGGGACACAGTCTGGGAGAAGAAGCCGGTGCGGAGGGTCCTGAGGGAGCCAAGGTGGGTGGGTGTCTCACTTGCAGTCCCTGCCCCTGCTGTGGTGTGTCACGGGGCTGTGGGGCCAGTCCATTCCCCTTCGGGCCAAGGATTTCTGGCCCTTGTACCAGGAGCCTGATGGACACCCGTCCTCCAGGACCCACAGATGTAACCCCCCTCTGGGACGCGTGTCCACACCCTCCATAGCACCAGGTGGGACGTTCGCCATCCTTGGTGCCTCCAGGCGATGAGGAGCTCACCGCCGAAGGCTGGGCCTTCTGTGTATGTTTCCCCTGCCCCGGCAGGCACGGAGCAGGGGTGAAGTCACTGTGCTTCGCGCAAATGGACGTGTGCTCAGTATGTGTGACATTTCAACAAGCGCATCAGACAATTGAGTACCACCTGATAAAGTGGTTGCTGGGGAAGCCTCAAACTCCTTCTGGTAATGCTGCGTCTTTGCCTAGAACATTTGCCTAGAACTTTGCCTAGATTGAGTCTGTTCATGAAGCTCAGAAGGCACCCGTCTTGGTTTTAATCCCAAATGGTGTTTTCAGTTTGATTAATAGAAATAGCTGGAAGGGACATGAAAAAGGTTGGCCGCTGCTGGGGATTTAGTGGTGGGTGTTCAGTCGGTCTTGGAGCAGAGGGGGCTCCCTAAGGGGCAACGTCAGAGCAGGCTGAGGAGGGAAAATTGGTGGGATTGAGTTGCAGAAAGTTGCCGCAGTTCCAATTCAAATGGGGAAGGTCCAGTCGATGTATAAAAACGGTTCCTTCATTCAAGGCTTTGTGTTCACAGCTGCACTCCCAGGCCCCGGTATGTGCTCGGCGCTCAATAGATATTTGTTGAATAAGCGAAGGAATTCAACAAATATTTATTTGTTAAATATTGCCTACTATTTTCCACGCACTGTGGTAGGTCTTACTGCTTTATAGACATGACGTGTTTTGTGTGTGTGCACACATATGTTAACTCACATCTAGCTGTGTGTGTCACTGGCCTCTGTGATCACCACCTTCGTTGGGAGGTAATAGCACATTTGCTGGGCTTGGCCAATGTTATATTTTTATGTTTTTATTTCCAAGGCCAACACTGATTTTTTTTTTTTTAAGGGAATGTTTTTTTTTTTTGCCGGTGGTTGTAAGCAGAGTTTACTGATGGGGAGGGGCTGGGGAGGCAAGCTCCAGCGAGTGTCCAGGACTCAGCTGGCCCCTTGGCATGCAGGGTCAGCTGGAGGTCAAAGGGGGGAGGTCACAAGAGAATGGGTGATATGGGACTTTGTGACCACCCCAGGGCTGTATTTACAACGGGGGGCCTGCTGGTCTCCACCTCCTTTAAGGGAATATTTTGATGCAGGGTACAAATTAGATTCAAGACAGAGCATGCACTCCTGGTCACCACCCTGGCTCCTTTGTTGCCAGTGGGCATGAGCCCCCCTGTCCCCCTCGTGTGCATGCATGCGTGCTGTAAACCTCAAACAATGGCCTTTGTGTTGGAGTGGGGGCCCGGCACCCACCTTAGGGGTAATGAGCCTTTGTCGGGAGGATTTTCCCTCCTATCTTCCCGTAGGTGAAGCCAAACCCGTGTGATGTGCTTTGCCCTGGGACGTGGTGCCTTGGTGTGTGCGCGTATTCCTTGTGGCAGTGGCTTTCGTGCCTCTGCCCTTTTCAAAGCAGTGGAGCCCTTTGTTTAAATGACTTTTTATGTGGCACCCCACGGGCACACAGCACAGTAAAAGTGGATCTGCTTTGCCTACACCTCCCCCGACTTCCCTGCCAGTGAACTTCACTGCAAACCAAGGCCCTGGGGGAAGGGCGTGCACACACACAGTCACACGCGTTTGTGTTCACGGACGTTCACCTGTTGGCGTGCACCGTGTGTTCATGCGTCTTCTCTCTCTGCCCTCTTTCCCCGGTTCAGGCGGGCCTCATCCGCACAGACAGCGCTGACTACTTCATTGAGCCCCTGGAGCGGGGGCAGCAGGACAAGGAGGCCATCGGGAGGACGCATGTGGTGTACCGGCGGGAAGCCGTCCAGCAGGAGTGGGCGGAGCCGCACGAGGACCTTCACAATGAAGGTAGGCCATGGGCAGGGGCCCCAAGCGCTACTTCTGGCCTTAAGCTCTCAGTGCCTGACCTTAGTCTTCTCATCTGTAAAATGAGGCCGGGCCACATATATCAATACCTGATGTACTAGCAGGGAAACCCCAGTAGGTTCTAGGAGCTACTATGACTGGCTGGAATTAGGGGACAGGAGAGCCACTTGTGTCCTGAACTGTGGTCCTTGGGACTCCAGAGGTCTTTCAGGGGCTCACCATTGCTTCTCAAAGCCATTTCTGAGCCAAGGCAGAGATAGAATGGCTGCAGTTAGTGCTTCCCTCAAAAAATCAACTAAACCCTGTAGGCGCCCCAGGAAGGAAGTTCCTGGGGTACTTGTAGGGAGGCTGCCTGCTGTCAAGGCACCGGGGTCAGCTTTTGTCCAATAGACCATTTTTAAATCCTGCCTCTAACTTGATCTACTGTGTGACCTTAGACAAGTTACTTCATGTCTCTGAGCCTCATTTTCCTAATCAGTAAAGTGGAGATGATCAATGTCTACCTGTTAAGGTTGTTATATAAACATCTCAGCATGGAACTTGGCACATAGTAGGTGCTTGATAAATGGTAGCTCTCATTATGGTATTGTTATTAAGGGCAGCTACTGACATATTCGGGTGGGAGCCCCCTGAGGGCAAGGGCGTCCCTGCACCTTGGGGACCAGTGTAGGAGGCCACACAAGCAGGGACGCTCAGGACCCGTGGTCGAGCAGGTGAAATGGTGGATGATGGGTTCTGGTCCTGGCCCAGGGCCCACTTCCTAGTGCAACTTAGCTTTGTCACGAAGCCCCTTTGGGCGAGAGGAGATGAGAAGGCCCAGGATGGAACTGGTTGTAAGTGGCCACACCCTTGTGCCAGGGCCCTGCGGGGAGGCACCCAGCGTGAGAGAATGCCTGCAAACCAGTTATCCTCCAGCTGCTTTCCAAGTGTCACTCACAAGAGAAGTCCCCCACCAGGGCCAGGATGGCTCTGCAGGCCTGGAGTGGGGGGCGGGGCCTCCAAGCACAGGGGTGGATTTCAGGGCACCCTTCCCTCCACCACGGCTGGGAACAGGGAACAGTCACCCTTGGGCTCCATTTTATTTGAGGCCAATTCTGAATCAAAAGACCATAAATGCTGCCCCCTTTGGGGAAGAGACCTTGGGAAGTGCAGCCCCGGTTGGCGGCTGGGAAGCTGAGACCTTGAGCACACGGAGCTGGGGTTCAGGCCCAAGGTGACGTGGGCACAGCTCTTCCCTCACCTCGAGCTGCCCGGATGGAACCTATCTATGTTCCTCCCGGGTAAGACCAGGGCAGGAGAGGACTTTCTTGGAAATCTGTGACTCACACTTCTATTTGAAGGCCGGTTGTGGGTCCGAGCCCAGTGTGTGGAGCAGCATTTCTCGGTGCATCTGTCTCTATTTCGCAGGCTCGGCTGAGACGAGAGGCGTCTTTGCAGCCCTTCGGGTGTACTTCTCGGCTCGCAGAGGGATGCCTCAGAGCCTGGCTGGCGGCCAGGGCAAGGCTTCCCAGCAGCCTCTCTCAGGCCGGCCCCATCCCGTGCAGGTGTCCCTGCCCTTGGGCCCTCAGACCCTGGAGTGCCCTGGATCTGTCCCGTCTCCCACCCAGACTGGGGACCAGGAGAACAGGTGCCAAGTGTCCATCTCTGGGTCACCCACGGCAGCGCCTCCCTCCCGGGACTGTGTCCAGCTGTCCTGGAGGAGAGAGGAGGCGTCAGAGGCTCCGTCCTAGGGGGTCTCCAGCTGAGCTGAGACTGGGGAGGGGCCTCCTGCCCTGGGCTCCACTGTGAAGGGTCTTAGTGGGTGTGCCGGTGAACTTGGCGTGGAGGGGACTGTTCCTCTTGGCACTCAGGGTCTGGCCTCAGCTGCTGCTTCCTGAAGCGCACACTCGTGGCACATGCACACACACACCTGAGCCACACACCCACACTGACACACAGACACACTGACCTCACCCGCACACTCGTGCTCACACACGGGCATGCATGCCCACCCATGCACTCCAGCTCACACAGACACACACACACTCACCCACCCACACTCTCAGGCTTACACACCCACGCAGACTCACACCCACCCCTGCACCCACACTGACACATACACTCACCCACCCACACTCTCAGGCTTACACACCCACACAGACTCACACCCACCCGTGCACCCACACTGACACAAACACATCCACCATACACCCAAACTCACACACAGATACAAGCACACACTCACACCCACGCTCACAAACACACACACACACACACTCTCACACTCACGCATATGCACACACGTCCTTGATGGGCCCCAGAGAAGCGTGAAGTGATTCGTTCTCAAGGGCTCCAGTGAGAAACGGGACAGTGAGGGTCCAGAGGTGGGACTTCCCTTGGCTGGACCCTGGATGCTCGCGGCTCCTCCTGCAACCCGTGGTCCTGCTCTTCACAACGCCTTTCCACCCCCAGGCCCCCCCGAGGACATGAGCGGGGCACGTGCCCCTGTGGCCAGAGCTCCAGCCCTCCCATCCTAAGGGCAGCCAGCCAGGCTGGGGCTCAGGGCTGTTGCTGCTGCTATTTTTTAAAAAAATCGAGATAAAATTCATTATTTTAACCATTTTAAGGTATATAATTTAATTTTTTTAACTGAGCATGTTTAACAATTGGCCTGCAAAATTCCAGAAAATGTAATAGTTCTTGTGAGCTGGTATGAGCCAGCTCCAGTGCGTCTTACATGTAATG